TGGAGTAAAATAGAGGAATCACACAGAAACCCACACAGTGGCAGCCACCTGGTTGTTGACGATGGTGCCAAAAGCATATACTGGAAAAAAGATACTCTCTGTAATCCACGGTGCTGGGATAACTAGCTATCCACGTGTAGGCAGCTGAAACCAAATCCCCCCTTTCTCACTCTGCACAAAATTGATTCAAAATGGATCAGAGATCTTAAGGGAAGTCCTGAAACTTTGTAACTACTAAAGGGAAACTTCTTCAAGATATAAGCTTAGGTGAAGGGTTTCTGACAATTTAGGAAATAAGAGCAGATTGAAGGCTTCTATAAAACAAAGAAAGTAATTACCAAAGGAAAAAGATGGCTTCCAGAATGGAAGATCTTTACCAGCTATTCATTCAACAAGGGAATACTAACCACAATATATCAAGAACTCACGATGGCTTCCAGAATGGAAGATCTTTACCAGCTATTCATTCAACAAGGGACTAATAACCATAATATATAAAGAACTCATAAAGTTAAATACAAAAAGAACAAATAAACCAATAAGTGAATAAACGAACAGACCGTTCTTAAAAGAAATACAAGTGGCTAATAAATACACGAGGAATTTTCAATATCTTTAGCTCTCAGGGAAATCAAATCAAAACTGCACTGAAATTGCATCTCTCCCCAGCCCGAATGACTGTCAAGAAGAAGGCAAATAGTAACAGATGCTGCTGAGGGTACAGAGGGAAGAGACGCTTACGCACTGTATATGGGAATGTACATCCAGCCACTATGGAAACCAGAGGTTCTTCCAAAAACTGAAAGTAGAACTGTGTTCCATCTGTACCACTCCTGACATATTTCCAGAGGAACATAAATTAACATACAACAGAGATACCTGCACATCTAAGCTTACTGCAGCATTGTTTGCAACAGCCAAGCTAAGGAATCCACTTAGGAGCCCACTGAAGAAAATGTGATGTGTGGGTTTATATGTACCATGGAGAAGAATGAAATCATGCCATTCTTAGGAAAAGGCATGAAACCAGAGATCAAAATCAGCCAGATTTAGACAAATATATACTTTATCTCATATGTGGAATCTAGGGCACGGGTTTATTAGCTTTTGGATCTAGAGATAGAACTATTTGGAGAATGAAAGTTTGTAAAGTGGGACAGTGTTGCTAGATAGCCCAGACATCCCCCCCATATGTACACCCCCTTATAGAAGCTGAGATCATCCTGGTGGGTGTGAGCCTGGTGGGCATCATGGCACTGACAGGAGGCTATCTTGCTGCCTTGCAGGTATGGAGGAATCTCTATTGGAGGGAAGCTTCCTGCCATCCCCATCACAGCGGAAGCACTTGTTGGTTTTTTAGGTGACCTTGGCCAGATGATGAATGTGAGTGGGGTAAGTAAACAGACTGGAGTTTGGGGTCAAATTTTTGACTTGTTTGAATATTAAGAGATGGAAATTATCCTACGTACTACAGAAGGAGGGGATAAGAGAAGAAATGTTTCTTTTTTGTTATGCTATTCTAGGGTCCTGTCACCAGAGAGGCCTCTAAAGAAATGTTAGAGTTCCTCAAACATCTTGAAACCAAAGACAACATTAAGGTAACTGACTTGAAGCTAAAAATTCCTGTGAGGTCATTGTTTGACTGATTTTACCCTGCTTAATTAAATCCCATTCCTCCTGCTGAAACCAAGTGAGGAATGCCTGCCAGGGCCTCCTCCTTGTTTGAGTTCACTTTGCTGTTGGTGGCTTTTCCTTTATTTTTTACTTATTATGTCTGTGTGAGAGTTCTTGGAGTTACAGACAATTGTTAGCTGCCACGTAGGTTCTGGGTATTGAACCTGGGTCCTGTGGAAGAGCAGTCAGTGCTCTTAACCACTAAGCCATCTCTCCAGCCAGGTAGCTTTTCCTTTAAATAGCCTGTTTGTGTCCCCTCTCTGGAGCCTGGGTTGTAGCTCAGCCCATCCAGTCAAGCCTGTCTCTGCCCTCTAGGTATGGTTTAACAACAAGGGCTGGCATGCCCTGGTCAGCTTCCTGAATGTGGCCCACAATGCCATCTTACGGGCCAGCTTGCCCAAGCACAGGGACCCTGAGGAGTACGGGATCACCGTCATCAGCCAACCCCTGAACCTGACCAAGGAGCAGCTCTCAGAGATCACAGTGTGAGCTGCTACCTCCCCAGGCTTTCAACTTCCTTCCAATCTTCTCTCTCTGGAAACTGCAAGGAGTTGTTTTAGTGTTGTGAGGTGTGGGGCTGGGTGGTAATGCTTCCTGTACCAAATTACTTGGCTGTTCTTTCCCTTCTCCTTTTTTTTTTGGAAGTAAAATAACACTTTGCACTGCTACTTTTGGGCCCTTGATAACAAGTTCCTCCCGAATTACACCACTAACCTCCCTGCCAGTACACAAAGAACCTGCCAGGACCTGGAAGGCTCAAGGAGGCTCCTTCATTTCTCTGGCACAGCCATAGATTCTGGTAATTTTCCACAAATAGCCATGCTTTGGAGCTGTTTGCCTTCCTCAGAATTGAGTGGGCTCTCGTGGCTCAACCTCAGGCAGGAAGAACATTGATTGGTCTTGTTTGTGTGGCACCATTTGCTCTATTTGAAGGCCTACAGAGAGGAGAACTTGGGAGATTTTTTTAAGCTTCTCAAGACAGGGTCTCTCTATGTAGGCCTGGCTTGTCCTGGAACTCACTCTGTAGACCAGGCTGGCCTTGAACTCAAGAGAGACTCACCTGCCTCTGCCTCCCAAGTGCTGGGATCAAAGGCCTGGCTAGGAGAAGCATTTTGTAAGTGCAAACTTCTGGGAAGCTATAGGAACCCCCTAGAGTTCAGGCAGGATCAGTGTCTACCTACTCCCAAGCCAAACATCTCTGTGTGGCTCCAGAGACCAATTTTACATAACTAGACTCACATCCCTTGAGTTTACATGTGACCATTTCCCGTGACATGTGATTTCAGAGAACATAGGCCTGTCTGTGCCTGCAGGCAACTCAAGAGTCCATAGAAAAATTCAGAGCTAGGAAGAATTTGGAATTGCTACAAACATTCATTTGTATATTCCATAGTAAATAAGTAGAAGTGAAAGAAAAAAAAAAGGCAGTCTAGAATGTTCTCATGAATCAAAGAAGCAACCTACACAAATATCCACTTTGCCTGGGAGACGGTGAGCTTCACTGGGGATGTGGATCACATGGGTTGGATAAGGACCCCCAGAGCCTCCCATATACCATCTCTGGGTTTCTGACGGTCCCTGTCTCTGGTCCTGCTGCAGGCTAACCACTTCCGTGGATGCTGTCATTGCCATATGTGTGATTTTCGCCATGTCCTTCGTTCCAGCCAGCTTTGTCCTTTACTTGATCCAGGAGAGGGTGACGAAAGCCAAGCACCTGCAATTTATCAGTGGTGTGAGCCCCACCACCTACTGGCTGACCAACTTCCTCTGGGACATTGTGAGTGCCAGGCCTTCCCTGACCTCCGGGGCCCAGGGTGGGACTGGTGTATGTCTGGCCAGGGAGGAATTTCACATCGCCAGGGCTGCTGAGGCAATGGCCATGTGACTGCTGTGCCTTTACATCTTTAAAAAGGCAGTTGGGAACGAGCCCTTGGGAAGACCACAGAACACACATAGTCACTGAGTAGGGATGCTCTGGCCCATCACCCAGAGGGCTCTGATCCACCCCAGGATCTCCATATGCCAGAGATGAGGATGATTTTCCTGTCAGTAGCATGGGTCTGAGCAGGTAATTCAGAAGGGACTCTTCATCCATCATCTCCTTCTCAAGTCCTGTCTCAACCTCCCACAGCGGGGGAAGACAGAGCTTCTTGTGATAGGGTCACCACAAAAATGTAGGCTAACCACTAACTCTGAATCTCAGGGTAAACAATGAACAACTTATAGCATAAGTATTTAGTATATCCGACTTCAGTTATTGCCTGGTACATATTTATACTAAATGTTATTGGCTGCTTATCAGAAATTCAAATTTAAATGGGCATTCTATATCTTAATTTACCAAATCTGGGAACACTGCCCAGAGCCTTATTTTACTTCTTCAAAGTAACTAGGGGTTATTGAGAAGGTTCAGCAGGTAAAGGTGCTTGCCAAGCAAGCCTGATGACCTGAGTTCGATCCCTGCAACCCATGTAAAGGTAGGAGAGAAGTAGCCTCAGAAAAGTGTTCTCTGTCTGCACACATATATGTGATTGTGGCATGTAACCCATGCAATATCATGCATACATACCTACACAATAATTATTTTAAGTGACCAGATCCTTACTGTACTAGATTAGCTACCATGTTGAGGAAAATTAATTAAAAAACCAAAAACAGGTTAACAGCAAAGAGCAATCAATGTTGGTGGCAGCAGAGAGAGATTAGAATGCTACACACATTATCACAGGCCACAGAGTCAAAAGGAACTGTTAACTGAGTCTAGTTATGACATGACAGGGTCATTGTGACACCAAGTCGTCTTTTCTTGGTGTCTTTGAATTTTTTTTTTTTTTTTTGAAACAGAATCTCACTATGTAGCCCTGACTGGCTTGGAATTGGATATGTAGACCAGGCTGGCCTCAAATTCACAGATATCTACCTACCTCTGCCATGAGAGTTCGGGGATTAAAGGTGTATATCACCACACCTGGCCCATGAGATCTGTTTTATCTCAACATTACCAGAACAAAATGAGGCTTCTCTCATGATGATAAAACATATCGGCTCTTGGAAACCAACACAAAGGACCATTTCCCCTTGGCTTTTACTAATGATGCTGA